GTTAAAAGAAAGAACTTTCTTTAATTTCTCTTACCATAGAACAACTCTTTCCGATGGAAACGTAGTTAATAAGTCCCAATTAATGTATATCAATATATCAAAACACGGGCGGAGCTACGGGGGGAGGGGAGGCTTTCGGGCTGAAGCTCCTCCTCCCTCCCCCCCCCCCCCAAATGGTACAATATAACCATGTTTTATGGAAAAAAATTATCTCTTAAAGTATTATTGTTCGTGTAATTACATTTAAAAAGACTTAAGGAATCACTTAAACATCATTTCATATAGATAGCTAATTTTCTTCTTTTTTTCCGAAGTAAATATCGTCATTTTTATGAAAAAAAAAAGCTTTCTGGCTAAAGCCTCAAAATTAAATCGTGGATCCCCTAATATATCAAAAGTAATATCAAAACCATAACATAATACAAAAATACATAATAATAAGAACTAGAATGATTAATTTTTTTTTTGGTTTTAAGTTCCGATATAAAATTATGTTATTAAGTATTAATAATTATTGCATATGTTAAATTGTGATTTTTTACAACAAAATTATTCCGAAATTGATTATTTGTTTATTGATAAATATTACAATCTGTCTCAATAAAGGACATTTATAATAGAGTTCTGAGAGCAGAACTCTATTATAACTCTATTACTCGCTTCGGCGGTACATATACTAAAATTGGAACAATAATGTGCAAATTTAATCATTCCATTGCTAATGATTCACTTCAGTTGATGAATATTAGTAATGATAGAAAAAAAACAAAAAACAATATCTAATCTCATTTATTTTATATATCAATAAGTATTATTATTTATTTTTTTCTCTATACAAAAATTAAATATAAAAATTAATTAACGTATTATTTGTTGGTTACTTGTAACCAAAAGTTTTTTTTATTTTCATTTCTTGTTCTCCTCGCCTTTTTAGGCTATTCGGCAGTTTTTCCGGCGAGGGAGTGAGGGCGGTGAATTTGAAAGACTCCCAGGCACCGGGATGCGAACTCTTAATTTTATTGTCTTTAAAGTTGGTGCAGGTATCTGTGCACATACGTTAGCCCGTTCGGCCACCCTGCTCCCTCAAAACAGAATTAAATATAGATTGAATAAAAATATGTAAACTAAATTGAGAAATAATAACACTGGGGTTATAATGAGTTTACATCCTCCTGATTCATCGACTCCAAAAGTGATGGAACTGCTGAAATATCGGTGATTGAATTCCATTCATCGATGGGTTTATGAACGGTTTGATGGTTTTCTGATGTCATCAATGAGCTCAGCGCTTAGTTTTGGAAATTTTCCCCTAATAGCTGGAAAATAAAGTGTTTCTTCTTAATTACTTGGATCTTAACATACGTATATAGATATATTATTGAGAAAAAAAAACTAAAGAATATAAATGATTTGCATCTGTTCCTTAAGATGATTACATGAATACCTATAAAGGTATCGTGAAAAATTAAAAAAGTATTGTGATCTACCTGTGAAGCTATATATATACACTTTTTTTCTGTTTGCATTACAGACCAAGTAGATGTTTTGCCGCCTTAACAAGCCTGCTCCATCTCTGTCTCTCTTGGGCTATTTCTTTCCAGTTATTTACACGCAGCTTTTTGCCATTTTTCTATGGATTCTATCCATCCATCTGCTATTTAGCCTTCCACGTGGTCTTTTCCCTTCTATTGAGGCATGCTATATACATATATACATTTACATATAGATATATATATATATATATATATATATATATATATATATATATATATATATATATATATATATATATATATATATATATATATATATATATAATTACTGACTAACTATGCAGCTCTACAGCCCAGGGTGGGCCTTGGCTTCCTGAATTATAGCATGCCAATCATCCCTATTGCTCGCCCTTTCCTTCCAGTTTCTCACCCCCATTGTTCTATGGTCGCTCTTAACATCTTGTAGCCATCTTTTCCTTGGTCTTCCCTTTCTTTTTGTGCCATACATTGTACAGAACAATTCTCTATAAGGTATCCTGCTGTAGCCCATTCTAACCATGTGGCCTAACCAAGCCATACGCCTAGTTTTAACGAAAGGAACTATGTTGCTGCTATTATATAATTCATATAGGCCCCCATTTCTTCTATATATTTTATAGATTCTATATATTTATATCTATAGATTATATTTTATTCTATATATATTTTATATATACATGTACATAAATATATAGTATAGGTAGCGACTTTGAAATGAGTATAAATTGTTATAGAAGTGGTATAAAAATTGGGAAGGGATGATGTGTTCTCGGAAGTCAATTTCGCGAAAATAAGAGCGCTCTAGGAAGAGCCACGTGGGTTCAGTGATTGTTTGGAATGATAGGAACTGATAAGGGGACCTTACACGATCATTCATGCATGAAAGTCACAAGATTGCTCGGGGTCGCTTTGATCATGATGAACCTTACACGTTCAATCATTACTGACCATTTTAGCTCAATTGACATTGAGATAACAGGCTGCATGGATCTGGTAGATTGTTCACTTATAATAATGTGTTTGATTTAAAAACCTTATTTGTACATTGTCCTCTATTGTATTGTAAATCAAGAGAAAAATGAACATGTGATAATAACTTCACAACTTACAAAAATTTATGAAAATTATTGAGAGAATAATGATTTTTTAAAAGAACAATTAATGACAAATAAACACAACAGTTACAGTTTTTTTTTCTATCTGTAAATTGTAAAGTTTCCATTTGTTTGTTTTTTAATTTATTGCCCACTTGACTATTTAAAGAAAAAATAGTTGAAAACATTTTATAAAAATATAAACTAGGGATATGAAAAGCCATTTACTTTTATGAAATTATTTACTTAAAAATCAGGAACGTATAATGGTTGTGAGGCCTAGGTAAACTAACCTATCTAATAGTAAGGTTAGCTTCATAGAAAATCGTTTTGACAAAATTTAGAGAATTAAAAGTCTACCACTTACAAAAGTTAAGTAAAGGTAATGCGAAAATAATAAAGTGTTGAGAAAAATTTAAAAAGAACTGACAAATATACACAACAGTTAAAGATTAATTTTTTCCTTTAAGTAAATTGTGAAGTTTACACTTTTTTTTTTAGTTTGTTGCCTGCTTGAGTATTTAAAAAAAATAGTTGAAGTTGGTTTGTAAAATATAAACAAGGAATATGAAAAACTATTTAACTATTTACTTTTAATGAAAATCAGGAATTTATAACAGTTGTGAGGCCTAGGTAAACTAACCTATCTAGTAGTATTGTTAATCTCTCCGCTACTTCTCGTGAATGAACTTTTGATTTCCAGACTATCGGAAATTCGCCAGACACGTCCATCTGTAATTCATTCACTACCTTACACGATCATTCGGAACGTCATTAGTGCCTCGGAATGCAATTCCCTGTAAACCTGTAAGGTCCGCTATAGAAAGTGAGTAAACAAGGCTTTTCATTTTTTATATAAATAAGTAAAAACTTCTGGTACTTAATTCATATAATGGATTGAAATAGAAATAGAAATAGCATCTTTATTCCGGGACTAGGTCCCTTTAGAATAACAGTATTATTCGTATAAATTGACCACAAATCTGGGCAAAAGACCTATTACAATGAATAATAACAAAATACTAGTAATAATTTAAGTATAATTGCAATTAGGATAAATTGACGAGAACAATTGGGTAATAGGGGATCAATATTACAATATTGGAGCTAAAAGAATAGCATAATAATCACTAAATGACATTATGCTTAAAAAATGCTATATCCTATCCTCCATCCTTGATCATTTTTTTTTTCCAAAATCCTACTTCCAAATCCTCCAGTCATGACTAATATCCTGAATTCCTGTCACATCAATGCAGAATCCCTTACTGCACACTAGAATGAATTTCAGGAACATTTCCTTGATAATTTTTACCACATAATAGCAATATCCGAAACCTAGTTAAAACCTTTCATCCCTTACTCCCAGATTTCCCTACAAAATTATTACTTCCTACTATTGTAATAGTATAGAAAAGTAAAATTGTAAATAGTTACTACTGTAAATATGTATATAAATTATTAGAGCGTTCTTCATTATTTTTATTTCATATTTATTTTCAATTTTTTGTTTTTTATTTTTAACTGATCTAAATTAGTAAGCTTCTCCACTCATGTCCCGAGCGTCTGTGGCTCTAGTGCCCTCTTTCAGTCTCCATTGGCTTCTAATACTAGTGATGCGGCTGGAAAAGTGGCACTGGGATCTCCTGGAGTCTTGCTTTGCCTTCCACATGTGGGGGGAAAAGCCTGGCTCGGAGATTCCTGGGCAAATGTATATATTGTATATAGGTATGATTGTGTTTATAAGTTTCTTTTTATGTTATTGTTTACTTTTTTTTCTTTTATTTTCTTTCTTCATCAGTATTATTTATTTACTTTTTATATTTATATTTATTTCTCTATTATTTGTATATATTGTTTGAATGAGAACTCTTAGCCCTAATACTTATAGCCCTCCAGTGGCTGATTGTATTATTATTCAATAAATAGATAAAATATTTATTGATATTTATGTATATTTTTGTTTAGGTATCTCTAAGGCTCCTTAGCCCATATTATTGTCTTTTTATATTATTCTAAAGGGACTCGTCCCAGAATAAATAAAACATTATTATTATTATTAAATGAAATTAGAAAGGAACGCAAAATCAATTTTATAGGCAAAGCATTGTAGTGATGGAATATAAAAATTTAAAAAAATAAAATAAAATAATAACTGTTAATTACAAATTACAAACGTAGAGGTGCTCACGTTTTACAGGAGAAAGTAAAGAGTAAAAAGACAAACATATTTCCCTAAATAAATATTTTGGGTAGAAATGAAGATGTTACGTAAACAATACTAACCGTGTAGCTAGATCCTTCCTCGAGAGATAAGAACCGCTATCAATGAAGAGTGATAAGGCAGGCTGGGTCCCTCAGTCCTGTGAAGGCAGTCGGCAGCGATGCGGGGACCCAGCTTCAAGGGGACTTTAGGACCCAAGCGGCATCCTCCGCCGCCACCTCCGGTAAACTATAATTACATTAATTAAACTTAAACACTTAAAAATTACATTAATTAAACTATAATTACATTTTTAATCCTAATTTCATCCAAAAGAATGAAAATACAACTAAAGGAATATTCTATATAAATATTCAATTTCTGAAATTGTAATAATAATCTTTAAACTTATTATAGATGGTCTCTTTTAGATAAGTTAAACTTAGTTTTTTAAACTTAATAGACATTTTTGAATGATTCTCCTTCAATCATTAGATATAGAATCTGACAAGAAATATTTTTTTTATAAAAAGTGGCTGTATGTATTCACTACCGATAGAAAGAATTACTTTTTATTTCACAACTTTTAATTTGCATTTATTTTTATTTTGTTCTTTTACTGATATATCCGCACTTTCCAATTAGAATCACAAAATTAACAAGCGGTGGGTTGACATAAAAATTTTTATTTAAGGAAACATTTTTCTGCCTAATGTTAGTTTAGGAACGGTTTAACGGATTGCCCGCTGTGCTTTTTTTTTTTTTTTTTTTTTTTTTCTTTCCTACCTCACCGTTCAGGCTATACGGGATTTTCCTGAGCCGGAGGGTGAGGGCGGGGAATTTAAAATCCCCTCCGGCACCGGGACGCGAACTTGTACTTTTTTTGTCTCTCAAATCTTCATATATGCTGTGCACACGCTTTAGCCCATTTGGCCACCCCGCCCCCTGTGCCCGCTGTGCTTAGAAACTTTCCCGCAATATTCCAATGTAATTAGTACTGCTAGATAAATAAGGGTTTCTTCTTAATTGCTTGGACTTTACTTTCCCGAAAGTATATTGCAACTAAAAGCAATCATATTTATTAATTTATATTGCGTTATAAATATCTTCTTTCAACTAATTATTTGATGTTTAAGTTTAAAAAAAATAAATAAAATAAAGATCGAAGCAACGTTTTCGTAAAACTTATATGCGACTTCGAAATTGATGCAGTTTTGAGTTATTTTTTAAGTAGTTTTAGTCTTGTTTGCTTTTTTTTTTTTATAATGAAAGTCAAGGTAAAATAATTATTAAACAACTAACTAGCTATAAAAGTAAAACAGTAAAAAATAAATCATTTAATTTTCTGTATTGACCATAATATGGAAACATAATAAAATTTTTTTTTTTTTTAATATAACTACTTTGATATAACATTTATAATCGAAATATTTAACCATTAATATATTCTGACTATTGATAATTACCACGTATTTTTTTTCTTTTAAAAAAAAAGTACATAATTTAAAAGTAATAATACCTATTATATAAGTTGAAATAATAATAATAAAACAGTCCAAATGGTGTTATGACTGTTCAGAAATACATCAAATAACCTCGATAATATAAACCTTGAATATAACTGCTACAATAATTTTTAGTTAACTATAACTGCAAAGCTTAGAAAAACTTGTTACATTTGTATACTATTGACAATCCTCAGCCATATGTGTGTAAATATCTTGTGGCAACTGCAGAGATCTCGTACTAAGATTTTTTTTAATGTATTTGTATTATATATTTTTTGCATAACAACCTTTTGGTTTTCTAAGAGATAATGATTAGTATACTGCTCAACCGTGATTATATTCATTATGAAATTATATTAGACGACCTCAAAGCTAGATTCAGAAGAGGGAGGTTCACCAGATCTTTATCCTAGAACTGGTTCTAAAAAAAAAAAAAAAAAAAAATTGGGAAATCGTTTGCACAGCTTTGTCGATTTCAAAGCTGCCTATGATCTTATGGACAGGATCTGTCTTAGAAATATAATATAGGAATAGTCTTTTAAAGTTTGCCGGAAAGTCGGAAATATTGATGAAGGCGTGAACAAATGATTCTAAATGAAGAATTCAGATAACAGGAGAACTGTTTCAAGAGAATGAAGTTAGAACAATCTTAAAGCAAGAATATAAACCCTCGCCGATGATATATACACATGTATATGACCTTGGGAATGTAACGAGAACATTATACTGTATGAAGCGCATCGGAATGAAACAAAATCCCAAGCACGAGTGGTATCGCAGTATTCGTATGCAACCAAAATTATATTAAGAAGCTCTTTAATAAAGATAACAGAAACAGACCAAATCGGTATAAAAATAAATAATCATAAAATAAAATTTATAACAATGAGCTGAAAAAATTCCACCGCAACAACAGAAACTGTTCGTATAGCAAATCATTCCCATTGGCAGACAGATTAAAATACCTCGGATCCACAGTCGCGTCAATAAATGTCCAACGGTAAGAAATAAGCCCTTCAATTTCAGTCACTAAACATCTAAAACCAAAATTAAAAAAAAAAAAACAAGTATCATTTTTTCCTCCTGCATTCATCCTTTCCAGGAAATAGAAGTTAAGTTGCTAAGAGTATCAAACTATTTCTAATCGAATTCACATTATTACAATAAAATATCATTATATCTGTAACACAGATAATAATTGACATTTCATTTAATTACCCCCACATAGAGCAATTGCTTTTGTAGATGGCTTAGAGAGTTTCAAAATTTAACCTCCATGGGCCTCCGAAATAACGCTTAAATCACTGGTTAATTCAATTTTATCGACAAACTCTAACCATTATAGCACATTTCACTTTTCTGATCAATTTTCAATGATGAAAAACAGAATAAATAATTTTTTATAAAGGGAAAAAAATTAAGAGGATTATTTGATTAAGTTATGACCATCTAGCAGATAACATGAACAATTATATAAAATATATACCAGTACTTATGTAATATATGTTCGATTTATAATAGTATAATATTTTTATTATACTATAATATTATATATTATAATATTTTATTATACTATAATATTATATATATATATATATATATATATATATATATATATTTAATATCGGCCAAAGATCTACAAGGTCTGTAGAGTCAACGGAAAAAAAATATATATTTAATATTTAATAATATTAATTTTTATTTTATTTTAAGTGAGTCTTGTATTTTATTCCGTTGAACGTGGTGTGGATAACGTCTGCTCAAAAGGTTAGCTAATAAATCATACCATATAGAAATTATATATATTTTATTAGAGGTTAATTTAGTAAACATCTTAGTCACCGCTACGATCCAATGATAGTTTGAATGCATATGTTCGTGGTAGAGCCATATGTACGTGGTATAGGGTTCATGTTATATGTCAGTTGTGGAGTTATAGTATTCTGTAACAGTATCTTAAGCTGTTAAGATTTTCAATTCCATGTGTATCAATTAATATGTGTTATAGAATAGTGTGTCAAACGTCCAGAGAATTCATTCGTCTCTGTAAAAAAATACCATGAAGTATACTCCTACATAAATTATTTTACGTAAACAAAAACAAAGAGCGAGCTCTAAAATAGTTTCATCTACTCTCTTCCATTAGAGATTGTAATTAACAAGATGATTTTTTACAGGGATTTAATCATCACAAGCAAACAAGCTTAGAATAGCTCAACTCTATCCAAATCCAAATCTGCATGATTAAAACTTAATCCTCTCATTTACATTTCAGTTTAAATATACGATTGCGCATCGGTCCATTGTCAATACCTTCAAAATGATTCCTTCAGTATACCAGTGCAAAGTAGAGGTTCTATCGCCTATCTATCTGTCTTAATTATATTTTTTGAATCCATGTCATGCAATCACGCACGCTTTTCTCACTGTCTAAATTATTTATTGGGCTCAACTATTTATGTACCATATATTCTTCCCAATACTTTATTTTCAAACATTTTATAAAAGGAGCAATGGAAACGTTAGCGCTAAATCGACGTTTAAACGTTGTAGCAGATGAACGAAATTATTTATGAGAATTTTGGTAGATTATATGTTGGTTTTATGTTTTGAATATGTCGACGTCATTTTTTTAAGCAACTTTACAAACAACACAAAAGTTCTGTTTCCAAAAAATCAATTTTATTTATTTAATCATTTTTTTGTAAACATTTGTAAAATTTTAAGATGGTATAACGTAATAGTTGAAAGTAATTAAAGCACAATTATGAGAAACCAACATCATGGAGCAGGAGTCTCCCCATAATCTTTAGAATAGAGGCACATTTATAGGTTAATAGTAAAGTGGGGGCATCAATTGGTTTGGTTTTCCACAATTTTTCATTGCGTGATATTGTTAATAATAATAAAAAAGAATAATTGTAACATATAAAAATGGCTACACAATGCAAAATTTCATAAGTAATACAAATCCTAAATTTAATGTGATGTTTGCTCTGCGTTGCATTGGTCAATGCACTTCATAATTTGCCGGAATTGATCATAATGTTATAAACATTTAAATAAGAGACGGTCATATTATGTCCAACTAATATAAATCAGATAAGTTTAATGCTAAATTACAAATCTTGTAATTTACTGTTCGATCAATAAAAAGAAAAAAAAAAGAATCGAAGAAACACCATGATGAAGATTAACTGGAAAATATTGTTAAAAACATCATACACTGATAGGCGAAAAATTCCACCCACTTGTTACCCATTAAGGAACCACGTTTGAAAGGTTGGCTCTGGGAAAAATTACAGGCTGCATATCTTTCGTTTCTTCTTCTCCACACCCTTTCACGCCCGTCTAGCGATCGAAGAGCGAATCTTGACTCATCGGTAAAAAGTACAGCACTCCATTCGTCTATAGTCCAATGGCTGTGTTCTCGAGTAAAAGCCAGCCGTGTTACTCTGTGAGTTCTGGTCAACTCTGGTCCTCTTACTGGACGAAAAGCCATTAATCCATACTCATTCAATCTTCTCCGAGCGGTAAGTTAAGAAATTTGCACACCTCGAACTTCTTCGAGTTGATGAATCGCTTGAACAACGGTAAGGTGCCGGTTTCGTAAAATTTTCAAAGTCAAAAACCGGTCGTCCCGTGGTCCTGTTACCCTAAGCTGTCCAGAACCGGACCTTCTATTGTAAGAACCAGTTTCCCGAACACGGCTGATGGTGTCTAATAAAGTTCCATA